GGGGCCCCAGGCTGCCAGCGCTGCCCCCTCCGAGGGGTAGCAGAAGGTGCGCTCCAGCTCCCGCTCGCTGAACCAGATCTTCAGCTGGGGGGGGACACAACACAGGACGGGGGGACATTGTGGGCATGGGGACACCCTGGGAAAAGGTGTGGCATGGGGACACCTGTGGAGTCACCCTGGGGATGGGGACACTTTGGGGACGGGGACATCCTGGGGACAGCATGGGGATGGGGACACCTTGGGGTCACTCTGGGGATGGGGTCACCCTGGGGACATGGGACATCGTGGTGACAGAGGTGCAGGGGACAGCCCAGGGATGGGGACAACATGGGGATGACATCACCCTGGGGTCACCTCGGGGCTGGGTTCACCCTGAGGACAAGGTCACCCTGGGGATGGGGACAACTCGGGGACACCATGGGGACCCCGTGGCCCCACGACGTGCCCAGCTCCGGGGAGAAGCAGGGACGTGAGTGTGTCCGTGTGTCGCGTCCCCCCCCTCCACGGGGGTTCCCATGGCAATTAATCCACCTCCTGGCTTAATCGTAATTAACGGGAGGTTATTAATGACCGAGGGGGGGGTCACGTGGCCCCACAGGGTGCGGGGGATGGGAGCGGGGCAGAGGAAGGGGGGGCTGGGCAGGGGACCCAGGCATCCGGACAGCCTCCCCCTGCGGGAACCGCTTCCTCCCCCCCCCGCCCCCCTCGCCAGGGTTCCTGTTTTTGGGGTGCCCAAGAGGATTCTGGGCAATGCTGGGGGTGGGTGGGGGGGTGTATCTGTGACAAACAACACCCCCCCCAGTTTAACCACCAGACCCCTCTGTTCCTCCAACACAGGGGGACCCAGATGTTGGGGCCCCCAAGACTTCACACACCCCCCCCAAAAGAAAACAAAACCCAAGAGGGACCCAGGCGTCCGGGTGCGTACCGGCTGCCCGCTTCTTCCGCGGGGGGGTGAAGTGCAGGCAAGAGTGCGGGCAGGACGTGCGGGCAGGGAGAGGAAGCGACAAGGACCCAGGCGTCCGGGTGCCCAACCCCCCCCCCAGTTACTCTCGTTGCCTTCCCACAACTGGGGGGCGGGGGGGGACATGGGACAGGGACGAGGGTTGGGGACCCCAGGAAGGGACAGGGATGGGGACAGGGTCAAGAAGGGGACAGGAGCGAGGGTTCAGGAGGGGACAAGGGTGAGGACAAGGGATGGGGATGAGGGGTCCAGGAGGGGACAAGGATGGGGATGAGGGGTCCAGGAGGGGACATGGACCAGGGATGGGGACATGGAGGTCCAGGAGGGGACAAGGATGGGTACAGAGAGTCCAGGAGGGGACAAGGATGGGGACAGAGGGTCCAGGAAGGGACATGGACCAGGGATGGGGACATAGAGGTCCAGGAGGGGACAAGGATGGGGACAGGGGGTCCAGGAGGGGAGATGGACCAGGGATGGGGACATGGAGGTCCAGGAGGGGACAAGGATAGGGACAGTGATGGCGTGAGTCTAGCAAGGGACAGGGGATGAGGACAGGGAACAAGAAGGTCCAGGAGGGGATGAGGATGGGGGATGGGGACAAGGAGGTCCAGGAGGGGACAAGGATGGGGGAGAGTGACACTGGTGGGGCTCCAGGAGGGGATGAGGGGACGGGGACAGGGAGGAGGCTCCAAGAAGGGACAAGGATGGGGACAGCATGGGGTCCAGAAGAGGACGGGGGACAAGGATGGGGACAAGGGACGGGGTGGCAGGAGGTTGAGGGGCTGGAGGATGCACGGCGGGACCCCAGGGGACATGGAGGGGCCACTGGGGGGGCAGGGAGGGCACAACAGGAACCGTGGGGGTGACATGGGGCTACACAAGGGGACATGGAGGGGGACACGGGGAGTCCCTACCTTCTTGCGGTGGGGGTCGTTCTTGGCCAGGCAGGAGCGGGGCAGGGCCAGGGACCCGCCGATGACCTGGATCTCCTCGGCCGTGGGGTAACGCTTCTTGGGGGGCCCCGGGGGAGCAGCCGGGGGGGCGGGAGGCGTCGGAGGGGCGGGAGACCCTCCTTCAGGGCCGTTGGCGGTCACCCCCCGCCGGGGTCGCACCGTAATGGTGTTACCGCTACGGCGTTGGAGGGCCGGGTGGGCCAGGGGGGGCCCGGGTTCGCGGCGGGGCACCCCTCGCATGGCCGCCGGCCCGCTGCCCGCCCCCCCAGCCGGGGCCACCCCGGGGCTGCCAGCACCCGGCCCCTCCCCAGCACCGCCCTCGACACGCCCCTGCATGGGTGTCATGGCCGCCGCGGGCGTCACGGTTCCCACGGGTGTCACGGCCACCACGGGCGTCACGGCCGCAGTGGTGGGCCCGGAGCCCTTGGCTGACCCCTGTCCCTCGGCCGTCCCAGTGCCCTCATGACCATCGACTGTCCCTTGTCCTCCTGGTGGCCCCCGTCCCTCGACCATCTTCCAGCTCTTGACCATCCCCTTGACCGTCCCCTGTCCCTCAACTGTCCCCAGGTCCTTGGTTGTCCCCTGGCCCTCAACCATCCCTGGGCTGGTGGCCATCCCGTGGCCCTTGGCCATCCTACGGGTCTCAGCCATCTGCTGTCCCTCAGCCATCCCCTGTCCCTCAACTGTCCCCAGGTCCTTGGCTGTCCCCTGGCCCTCAGCTGTCCCTGGGCTGGTGGCCAACCCATGGTCCTTGACCGTCCTATGGGTCTCGACTGTCCTACAGCCTTCGGCTGGCCCCCGTCCTTCAACTGTCCCCACCATGCCCTTGACTGTCCCCCATGTCTCAACTGTCCCCAGGTCCTTGGTCATCCCCTGGCCCTCAGCTGTCCCTGGGCTGGTGGCCAACCCGTGGCCCTTGACCGTCCTATGGGTCTCGACCGTCCCTTGTCCCTCAACCGTCCCCCAGCCCTTGGCCGTTCCCCATCCCTCAACTATCTCCAGGTCCTTGGTTGTCCCCAGACCTTCAGCTGTCCCCGGGCTGATGGCC